ATAATTTTTTATAATTATGTATTATATTATAATTTCTTATAATTGTGAAAAAGTGTTAGAAGGGCACTGGACAAAGCTCTAGGGACAAAAATGAAGTGAAATAGTTTGATACATAAGTGTAATCATAGCAGATTACATTGTATTGTGTGTATTCTGTGTACATTGCAACTTTTCACTTTTGAATTTCCTGCTGGCTGTGACGCCCGAAAACGAAACTAAAAGTCAGATGCCGGCATCTGACTTTTAGTTTCGTTTTCGGGCTGCATACAGCAGAGGACGCCGTGGGCTCGAAGGGACAAGGAAAGTGACACTTTGTGATTATGGGGAGCACCAGTCTTTACTATTCATGGCATAGGGACATATGCAATTTGGTAATGCTTACATGTGCCCTTCAGACTCTGAGAAACTTCTTGAAAAATAAAAGTGCATCAACAAGCATATGTGATGGTATGCTAGTAGATCCCACATTGGCCTGCCTCACATGAGAACTTTTCCTGTCAATGAATTTATGATTGGCAACAGCCAGAGAGGTTCTTTTTCAAAAATAGGACCAGAGCTGAGGCAATGTGATTTCTCAGATCGCTGTGTTTTTCAGTGAAAAAAAAAGCTGGCATGAAAATCTCTTATGTGACCTTAACCTGCAAAATGACACATTTGGTGATGTTAACATGGCAGAATAAGCAAAAGTGATGTCACCCTTTCATTAAGGCCATGCAGAAGCAATTTAATGTCTCTGATCTTGTCAAACATAAGTGTCATGCAAAAAAAATATGTGTAACTGACAGGATCAGAACATTTTAAATGTATTATAGCGATGATGCAGCAATTATCAGCTCAGTGAAGACACCACGAGCTGTAATTCTCATCTACAAATGACTGGCACGAGAAGCTCTCATATGTCCACACTGTAGATTTTGACACTTTTTATATTTAAACATAGCTTATAAGCCGAACAAGGTTAGGGATGTCTCCACTAAAGAAATATGGTGACTCTAACCTCTAATTCTAATTGCCTTGGTTTCATGCTGATGCAGTGTGCTGCAGAGTCACTGGCCTGTGACAATAATATGCATGTACCCAAAAGGCATAAAAAGTAGAGGATATTTTTAAACTGCCTGGATGTTACACCTGGGGGTAAAAGGAGACATACAGGAATTTTTTACTGTGAGTAAAGGGGGCAAGAAACAGCTGGTGGAGAATGTTTCACAAATATGGGTAATCAAAGTGTTTGTTGAAGAGCTTTAAAGTCAGGCAGGTTACCTTACATGGTGGAATCACAGGGTGTACAGGTGTAGGGAAAATATGCTTGAAACATTAATAGATAAATTAATTCCTACAGAACAACTACAGGAAAAGAAAATACTGATAGTACACAATGGGGTCTATTCACTAAGCTGCCGTAATCAGCCGAGTGAATGACCGACCTGAAGTGAAGTGAGCCGAACACTGTTCGGCTATTCACTTCAGGCTGGTACTAAAAAAAAAAACTCTCCCGGGCGCTCTGGGAGCCTCCCGCTCCCGGCCGCCCAGGAGAGAAACACTGATTTTTCTTTTTTTCTTTATTCTGACACGGAGCGATGTCTCACGTCTGCCCCTGCTGAGACTCCCCACATCTGCCCCTGCTACAAACCCTCCACATTTGCCCCTACTGAGACCCTCCACCCGCGACATCAGGCTGGCATCAGAGCAGAGCAGTAGCACAGAGTATGTAGCAAATTCATATACTATTCTGCATTGCTGTATAATGCATTGCTAGGATTTACAGTCCTCTATAGCTGATGATATTCTGCCTTGTTGTGTAATGTATTGCTGGAATTTGTAGTCCCCTATAGCTGGTGGTATTCTGCATTGTTGTAGAACGTATTGCTGGGATTTGTAGTCCTCTATAGCTGAAGCCATTCTGCATTGCTGTATAATGTTTTTTCTGGGATTTGTAGTCCTCTATAGCCGATGGTATTATTCTGCATTTATATATAATGTATTGCTGGGATTTGCAGTCCCTCTAAGCTAAAAATGCACCTCTGTCTGTGTAGGCAAAATTCCTTGTACCAGCCCTAAATACAGCCAAAACTCTAGTGTGATGAGCAGGGTCCTCTTCCTTACTCCGGTGGTGGGCAGTCCTTACTCCTGCACAGAACAATGCTCAGGTAATGACATGTGAGCAGCAGTTCTTTGAGCCTAGGGTGGTAATAACAATGGGGTGGGTCCATGATGCCCTGGACTCACATAAATTGGGTTGAATGACACCAAGGGGTCTATTCACAAAGCTGCCGAAGGATCTGACCGTAGCTTCGACCGATCCTTCGGCTAGCTTCGGCCCCAGGACCCCTTCGGTTCAGTAGAACCGAAGGGGTGCTGTACGGGCTATTCACAATAGCCTGTACAGCTCCCGATCATGGCTGAGAGGCTCAGCCGAGCCGAATTAGCAGAACAGCCGAGCCAAATGCCGCTCAGCGGCATTCGGCTATTCACTCACTGCTGTTCGCATCTTTAAGACTAGCCCGAACAGCAGTGAGAATCTTGCCGGAGGTTCGGCTCAGCCGATCCAGATGTTGGATCGACTGAGTGAGTCGAACTCCTTCTGCACTTCGGGTCAGCTGAACATGCTGAGCATGTTCGGCCGACCCGAAGCCACGCGAAGCAAGCCGATGTACGGCTGATTTCAGCCGATGTACGGCTGAAATCAGCCGTACCAGCCTGAAGTGAATAGCTGAACAGTGTTCGGCTCACTTCACTTCAGATCGGTCATTCACTCGGCTGCCCTCGGCAGCTTAGTGAATAGACCCCCAAGTGTCATTCAACCTGAGTAACAAAAGCAGAATGAAAAAGGAGAATGTCATTGGGGGGCAGCCCTACTACTAGGATATTTATTTGTAAAAGTTGGAGTTGGGCTTTATGTGAGGACATATTTGTTCCAATTCAAAGATTTAAAAAGTACAGAAGTTATTCAATTAGCATAACAGCCAAGGAATGTATATGTTCAGAAGAGATCAGCACTGGCAACCTCCAGTCCGTAATACAGGTTTCCTTTAACTGTTGGCTTTGGATTACAGGAAATACTAAGGCACGAGCACAACGACCTTCAAGTTGTTTTTCAACTTGCAATCTTGTAACTGCGTAAATAATAAAGCTAGATTCCAATCCGTTTTCCTGTACTCACTTCCAACACATTAGTTGATACTGTTTCATTTTTAGTAAGGATCTTTCTTATCACATCACATAATTGCTTTTGCCACTGGTACTGTGTGGGGCTTTGGAGAGAGAAATGACACACGATCCACTGAGAGAGGTTAATATTTCAGCAATGCTTTTATATCCTGGCACTTTTTCCCAACTTTATCAAAACAATCAATGATTTACAGACAGTTTTTTAAACAAACTATTTACATGCAAACTGATTTCCCACCCTTGAATACACTGAAATATTATCAAAGGAGACTCATAAATATTAGCTATATATAATGTTTGGCTTCTTTTTATTTTAGTGACCTTTATTCAGATCAGCACAAAGTCTGCCAATAAGTCCAAGCTGAACTTCTAATGTATTTTTCCCAGCTGACGTGCCACACTAATGAAAAACACACACTGGAAGTTACCCTGGTCATTTATTTCAGACACAATCAATAAGTAATCAATTTCCCTATATATCTGATGGCTCCCTAACTAGCATTAGCTAACAAGAGAAAAAAAAACACAAAGATATAACTGTACATTACAAAAGGTCAGACCTTTTCAAAGTATTTGATCTCATATTCCAGGATGATACCGTTGGGTCGCTCTGGTTCTTGCCAAGACAAGGAAATGCTATTTTTGGCGATTTTTCCTTTCTTCACATGAGTGACTGGAGACGGGGCTGCAGAAACAAAAGCAAAATAGCAAGAATAATAGCGGGAAGCTTCTGGTTTTATATACATAGCTTTTGGCATTTGCTTTGGCTCTTGTTTTAGCTGTTGTGCTCAGTATATTTCTGACATGATAAAAAATAAAACACAGATTATCATGATGGTATGTGTACCCTAAAGCTAATTTTGATTGGTTCAGAGGGCCTTTGTAAAAATAAATACATCATAGAAATTCAAAGTTTTAGCTAATAGTAAGCCACATGGAAAATTTACATTGGTAAGAATTTACAGTTACCTAAAATGTAATTCATTAATAATAATATAATTACATAATAAATATACAAAACGTTAGTGGGTATTTCAGGTAAATACTTACCCTGCCTGCCTAATCCTGCAAAATAAAATAACCCAGCCCTGGCTGCATACTTAACTGAATGTTGAAGCACTATTTTACATCCTGTGGTCCAAATTGTTTTCCAGTTGGCTGTGCTTATACACTCCTATGGGATTGTTTTCAAAGGCTGGGAGCTCAGGTAAGTATACAACAGGGGTAGGTGGGTTACTTTAGGTGGGAGGGTGTTAAGCAGGAAGGGTAAGAGTTAAGTCTCTGAAAGTATACTTACCACTTACGATATACAATACACACACATCGGTAGATAAAGGGCATTTTAGGCCATTGCTGCCAATAATAAAGTAATGTGCAAGTCCTCTATAATAGGGATATATGTACTCAAACATCAAAGTGTATTCACAGCCAAAACATTTTTTTAGGTTTAGGTAGAGTAGGTAAGGAGTTAAAATCCCATCCAGGTTATTTTTTGGCTGCCTGGCTAACATTGGGGACATTTTCCTTCACTTCCTTTCCAAAACAAGTTAGAGGAAATCTTCTAAAGTAAGGAGAATTCCCCTCTTATATAGTCCCTAGAACAGGTATTCCCTTTGAAAGATCCTCTCTTGTACTGGGGACATTTCCCTTCACATTCTTTCTCGGTGAATACGGTCTCCAGTGTAAATATATGGGCAAATCTCCCCAACAGGGAAGCAGACAGTAATAAAAATTGACAGAAAGTCTAACCCTTTTTCACCCAAAGTGGAATAAAAAGTTTTGCTTATAGATTCACTTTAATAAAATAAAAAGTATAATAACCACATTATATAATATTATATTGCAAATATAATTAAAAAAACAAGAATAAAACGGTTTTCCCTTTGAAAGCCCCCCCCCCCCCACACTTGTTCTGGGGACATCTTTAAAATTCTGGATTTCCCCTAATTTTTTTTGTTTGGTATAATGGTCACCAGTATAAAGAGAAGGTACATGTCCCCAACGGGGACAAAGACAGCAATAAAAACTTGACAGAGAACCTAACTCTTCCGCATCTATCAAACAAAAAATAAAGCTTTTGATTAGAGATACTTTTTTAAATAAGTAGTGTAGAAGATAAAATCACTATTTAACCAATACTGTGATTCATTGTCATAAAAACATTTTGTTGTTTTCCACACAATGCTAACCTATATAGAAGGCCGATATTTATTATCGAAGATGTACCTGAGATAGAAGAACTATAATGTGGTTTTTGCCTGTATATGATTAATAGAAAAGCTGTTGCAAACATTGTGCCCTACTCATACACCCCACATACAGCACATTGAAAAGATTGAAGCGAAATTCGGGAGGCTTGGCTAAAGAAAAGACCATTCTCCTGAAGCAGACAGCTTCTGCAGAATAATATTAACTTCAGGTGATATTTATTACTAATGCAACTCCGTGTGCTTCACTTAAATATATATCAGCTGCAGGCAGCTCAGGCACTATGGAACCTGTCTAGCTCCAGAAAACAGGGGAAACCTCTAGCACAGGGGTAGGTAACCTCAGAATTACATATCCCATTGCAAGACAGTGGGTAGCTGTGGGCATAGCGTTCTCTTTAGGCTTTTCTTCTCTTTTTTTTTTCTCCATATCTCTATAGGTTGAACTCGATGGACTTGTGTCTTTCTTTCAACCTGACTAACTATCTAACTAACTATGTAAATGCTGATGTTATAACAGGATAGTACAGGCTGACTTTAGAACTTAAAAGAAAAAAGAAAAGACTCTGCCAGTGCAATGTGGCATACAACCTGTGGCCTTAATATGAACAAAGAACAAAGTAAGAAAACTTTTTCAATGGCCATGCTTGTGCTAGTTCTCTTTCTGAAAAGGTTTTTTTTTTTAATTCTTTATTGACTGAGTACAAAGTCAAAACAAGCAAGGTACACAACATACTGAAAAGGTATTTTAAAGAAAACTTTACTGAGAGATTTGATGAGGCTGTCACTGCTAGCTTTATGTTCTTTAGGTCTGGAAGAAAAAGAAAACACAGGCCATAGAAACTGAATGCTTTTTTTCCTCTCTGTGACCCATTGGCGAGATTCCCCTTTACTTCCTGTTCCAGAGATTCAATAGGAACTCAACAAAAATGTCGCCAAAGTGAAAATCCCTTCATCTCCTGTTCAGGCCTCAGCTGTAAAATTACAACACCAGTTTCTGTTCCAGTGATGCTCATGAGGACAAATAGAGGAGAAAAAATATCCCAAGTAGGGACACAGGTAGCAATAAAAACTTTAATTGGCACTAAACTCACTAGTTAAATCTTAAAAATGCATTCAAGTACCATAACTATTAAAACAAATGTAACTCATTTGTGTATCACTCTGTAACAAGGCTGTAGATCCTCAAATCATTTGCATTGAGATTGTAGTCCATCACGGGAGTGAGCTTGGAGTGGTGGCTACTCTACAACACACACAGGGCCCATGGGGAACAAAAGTAGCCACCTTCCAAAAGGAAGGACAGTGTCAGCACCAATTCAGAGCTGATTTGAGGATCTACAGCCAAGTGATGCACACATGTGCAAAACAGAAGTTCTGTCCAGCATGAGAAGAGATACAGATTTAAAAGGAAGAGCAGCAAAGAGAAGGGAAACAACCATGAATTACAGTAAGGCATACATTACAGTATTGTTTTATGTTAGTGTCACTTTAACTGGGATTCTAAACCTTCCCCACTCAATCGGAAACAAATAATTATTTTCTGCGTGAACATTGGTTATGTGATCCATATTTTAATGTCAGCATAGGAATGAATGTAGTTGAAGCCAAAGACTCCATGAATGTACATAACAACAATATCTGTCACTGCAAACATATATCAAAATGTGCTTTTAAGAATCAGATTCATTTTACAACAGGCAATATTATTTTATTTTACTATATCTTCACTGTAGAAAATTCTCTGTATCTATACTGCAAACTGAATAATTGAACAAAGGTTTCAGACAAGTCTAAATGCACCTATGTTATAATTGAATAGTTTAGAAAATGTCAGATAAGACAAAAGAGATTGTGATCAGTGTATTACAGATGCCTTGTTCACACTGGCTCTGCAACATCTGATCTGTCCTAAGATTAACTGCTCTCTGTGGGTTTCTAATTTACATTTCTAATGGTAAATGTAGCTTTCCACATTTGCTTTTCTTTTTTTTTTAAACTATTTCTTTAATTCTTCTGAATATCTGCAGAGTTGCCTAATCTGCAAAGAGTTACATAATAGATAAGGCTGAATGAAGACACAGGTCCATCTAGTTCAAACTACATGTGTGTGTGTACATATCACTAACAATGCCCTTAACTCTGTATATTCTGTAAACTGAGACTTGAATTATTGCATATATGTCTAACATTTCCCATAACCCTATATATTCTGTAAACTGAGTCTTGCATTATTGCATATATGTCTAACATTTCCCATAACCCTATATATTCTGTAAACTGAGTCTTGCATTATTGCATATATGTCTAACATTTCCCATAACCCTATATATACTTTAAACTGAGACTTGCATTATTGCATATTTGGCTAACATTTCCCATAACCCTATATATACTGTAAACTGAGACTTGCATTATTGCATATATGGCTAACATTTCCCATAACCCTATATATTCTGTAAACTGAGTCTGGCATTATTGCATTTATGGCTAAGAATTCCCATAACCCTGTATATTCTGTAAACTGACTTCCATTATTGTTAATAGACAGGATAAATGAACATATTTTGGAGAATTGGAAAACTGATACAGTAAACTCCCAGTTATCCGGAGCCCATGGTGATCGGTAGGTGCCGGATAACTGTAGTTTATGGTTGCTTGAGAGTTAATAATAACTTTCAAGCAACCATCCCCGCGGTGCGCTGCAGCCCCGTTCACCTGCCACCTAGCTTATGCAGCCGACAGGTGAATGGAAACAGCCTGGGGCAATAGCCAGCCTGCTATTGGCCAATTCAAATTGCATTAGCCAATAGCAGGCTGGCTATTGAAGCCCCGCGCCCTGAGCAGAGGAATGGCCCTGAGAGAGAAGGTTCTCTCTCAGGTCCACTCCTCTGCTCAGTGGGTGGGCACAATAGCCAGCCTGCTATTGGCTATTGCAATTTGCAGGCTGGCTATTTCTCCCCATTGTTTACATTCTGCTGCCGACCACAAAATCTAGCCACCAGGCGTACGGGAGGCTGGCAGCATGATGTAAAACCAGAATTTTATTAGCAACTATTTAGTTGCTAACAAAATTTTAAGTGTGCACCAAGCAACCAACGGCTTTTTAATACACATCAAGCCACCAGCAAAAAAGAAAAATCAGTTGCTTGAGAGTGCCAGTTGTTTGAATGATGGATAATGGGGAGTTTACTGTACAAAGAATATTATCAAATTCTTTCAATGGTGTGACATATTTACTAAGGTCCCATTCATAACTAGGCATTTTGTAACTCAATTCCATAAGCTCTACAACACTTAACAAGAGCAATTCTACTGTTTCCAATGATCCCTGTTCACACCTGAGTGTTCTGTCTCTTGCAGCGAAACGCCTGTAGCTCGAAAAAGCACATAAGCTTCTTTTGAGGCAGAATCCTGTGTTTTGGCCTCATAGACTTTAATAGGAACACCTGAAAAACAATGAAAAGAGTACGTTTAT